TTGGTCTCTGCTAGGATGCTGGCTATTCTACAGAAATGAAGGAAGAATCTATAAAGCAACACCAGTATCCAGATGGTGACGTGTGGAAGAAACTCCTTGCTGCTCAAGGGAATTAAGTGTTCAGCTCTAATCCCTTTTACTTTATGTGAAAAGGCCTAAATTTTCTTGAAAATGGTTTTACAAATTTTTTTGTATTTGGGGAAAATTCATCCTACCAATCAAAATTAAAAAGTAAATCGAATCCAGGGGCTGGAGTGATAGCAGTGGGTAGGGCATTTGCCTTGCACACAGTTGACCCGTGTTCGATTTCCAGCATCCCATATGGTCCCCTGAGCACTGCCAGGAGTAATTCCTGAGTGCGGAGCCAGGAGTAACTCCTGTGCATCGCTGGGTGTAACCCAAAAAGAAAAAAAAAAGTAAATAGACTTCACCAGTCAGCTCAGTAATCATTACTTGATTTTTTAAAAAAACCAATAAACACACCTATTTAATTCTTAAAAAAAAAAATCGCATTTCATTAACCCAAAGCCTAGGAAGACGCTCTGGCAAAACTTCTATCAAAATTCTTTTACGCCTTAGACATTAAACTGTACTTGCATATAAATCTGTTCGAACAGTTCCTTATTCTATTTAATACCTGTCATAAATTAACACAATAAAAATATTCTGCAGCACCATGGGGTATGTGGTATGAAACAAAGGTAAAAAGATTTCACTGATTAGCCCTGAAGTGGTTTAATATCTCCTTTCTTGGCTCAGTTTGACTGCATTATTAGAGAATTTATACTATACTAAAATTAGCAAGAACAATGCATTTTAAAAAAATTTTTTATTGAATCGGGTGGGCCATATTGGCTGCATGCCAGACAGCAGGTAGGGCGTTTGCCTTGCACGCAGCCAGCCCGGCCAAGCCGGGTTCGATTCCTCCGCCCCTCTTGGAGAGCTCGGCAAGCTACCGAGAGTATTTCGCCCGCACAGCAAAGCCTGGCAAGCTACCCATGACGTATTATGCCAAACACAGTAACAAGTCTCAAAATGGAGACGTTACTGAGCCTGCTCGAGCAAATCGATGAACAACAGGAGGACAGTGACAGTGACAGTTATTGAATCACTGTGAGTAGTTATAAAGTTGTTCTTGATTTTCAGTCATACAATGCTCCAACACTTATCTCTTCAGTGCATATTTTCCACTACCAATGTTTTTCCCTCCTGCCTGTACCCACCCACGGCTGGCCTCCTACCCCCTGCAGCCTGCCTCTGTGGCAGACACTTTTCTTCTCATTTTCTTTTAAACACTGGTTTGCAATACTGTCTCATCACTGTACCTCCTTTCAGCACTCAGTTTTTGTCCAGTTGATGTAGGCAGGTAGATAGGGAAAGGCCCTGGACAATGAAACAGGTCAGCAAAACTTCTGGGAGGAAAGTTCCAAGACTGATCCACTTTGTGAATACAGATAAGACCTTGAGCAGTGGACTTTGAGACTGGACCCCTCCTCATGAAGGAAATTCCTCTAATTCCTTTGGACCTCTCCCTCAATCTGATTAACTTTAGTGATTCGGCCCAAAGAAGACCATCAACACTCAACCTCACTGGTAACTTCCTTAGCAGTAGGTTTTACCTAGGAAACAGCCCCATGTGGGAGCAGGCTGGACTAAACTCTATAAAAGCCACCTTGAACAAAGGAAGGGAGTCCATGTGGTGCCTGCATCCTGCATCTCCCCTCTTGATATGTGTACTTTCATGCTTTCATGTTCAATGCTGGGATGTGTCTAAGGGCTCTCTCTCTGCCCCTGGAGAAGCCTGTGTTCTCTCTTGAGAGCGTTATTCTCTCTCTCTCTCTCTCTCTCTCTCTCTCTCTCTCTCTCTCTCTCCCTCCAGACCTTCAAAAACCCTCCAAATAAAATCTATTTACTTCACTGCTTGTCTACTCCTGAAATTTTCTGCGAGGCGAGACAAGAATCCAATAACCCTGGGTCCCAGGTGGCAGAGATGGATGAGTAGAAAGTGACGGGCTTTCTCCTCCCCGCTTCATATAAGTCATCCGTGGGCCCACTGACATCACAGTGATCATTTCCAACTATCATTATCATAGTGGTCTCTTCTCTGTCCTAATGCCTTCCTACTCCCGCTTTGTGATGTTTCCTACCAGGGACTAGACCTCCTGGCCCAAGTTTCTAAAGTCTTTTGGAATTATTCATGTTGGATAACATCGCTCAGTCTTTTCTCCTTCACCTCTAGCTCTGGTTTACTGAGTAACACCCATCACAATGCTTCCAAAGCACTCCCATTCATCTTTAACGTCTCCTTTGTGCTCTGTTAATCACTCATTTCCTCTAATCAGAACCTGTGACTCCTAAAGTCAGATTCTTGAGAGAACTCAGGATTTTGTATTTGTAAGTGAAATACTGCTTTTCTCTTTGCTTTCTATCCTTTGCAATTTACTTTAGAGTAATGTCCTTTTTGTATAGATTCAGGAAGACAATTAACGCTATGCTCTTGTTACTTGAGAGTTAGCTGGCTCGGGATATTTACTTCTGGCCATCTGTCATATTTACTCAAGTTAAGCCTCAGTTGCCCTTTGTTCCTAGCACCCCATAAGGAGGGTCCTGATGAATGATGAATGGACTTGAATTGGACCCAGGGCAAGCTGTGAACTATCCTGGAACTGAAGAGCGAAGCCAATATAAATGGATAGATATGGAGAATATCATGCTAAGTGAAATGAGTCAGAAAGAGAGGGACAGACATAGAAGGACTGCACTCATTTGTAGAGTATAATATAACATAACATGAGACTGATACCCAAGGACACAAGGGCTAGGAAGATTGCTCCATAATTTGAAACCAGCCTCATGGGCGGGGGGGGGGGGGGGGGGGGGCGGCGCATAGAAGGCAGCTTGAATAGAGGAGAAGGGATCACTAAAACATGATGGTTGGAAGGATGGAAGGATCAGTTGGGATGGGAGATATGTGCTGAAAGTAGATAAAGGCCCAAAAGTGATAGCCCCTCAGTATGTGTTGCAAACCATAATGCCCAAAAGTAGAGTTTATGGGAAATTGTCTGACATGGAGGCAGGGGGAGGGTGGGGGGGGGGGGGATATACTGGGCAAGATTGGTGGTAGGGAATGTGTACTGGTGGAGGGATGAGTGTTTGAACATTGTATGATTCTAACTCAAACATAAAAGATTGTAACTATCTCCGTGATTCAATAAAATAAAATTAAAAAAGAACAGACAAGTTGAGAGCCATAAAACTTTATTTATTTTTTTTATTAGTGAAACACCATGAGGTACAGTTATAGACTTACAAATTTTGTGCTTGGGTTTCAGTTATACAATGATCAAGTACCCATCCCTCCACCAGTGCCCATCATCCACCACCACGGGTCCCAGCATCTTCCCCCCCCCCCCCCCATCCCACCCTGCCTCTGTGGCAGGGTATTCCCCCTTGTTCTCTCTCTCTTCTTTTGGGTACTGTGTTTTGCAAGACAGGCATTGAGTGGCAATCATGTTTGGTCTATAGACTACTTTTAGCATGCTCCTCCCACCCTGGGAGGGTCCTCACAACACCCTTTACTTGGTGGAGAGCCATAAAACTTTTAAGAGCATGGTCATGAACATGAGCCAAAGAGAAGTGATTGACAAGGACCCTGCTGGGATTAGGAAGGAATAATCTGGTTTGAGGACTATAGTTTAGGATCTAAAGAGAGATATCCTCTGGAGAGCCACCCTTTAAGCTTAAATATCTCTTATTGAGTCCATACAAAATGACTATGAAGATTATTATGAAGTAAATTTAAGATAACCATTTAAATGGATATGGACTAAGGAGAAACATGCCCTTTAGATGAAATTCTGCTCTTGAGCAGATCTGCTAGCAGCAGGAAGAGATCTTTGTCTTTGAAGAAGCTTCCCTGGAAGGGAGGACTTTACCTTGATTGTGTCATCTCACCTGTTTGTAATTGCTACCCCCAAGCTTGGAGGTTGGGCTCTCAACTAACCCTGGGAGACTGGAATGGGGGCAGACATAGACTGGAATGGGACAGAGTAAAAGTGGATGGGCAGAGGGAAACTGGATGGAGTGTGAGCCTGGTATGGAGACAGAGATTAGAATAAACAGAGATTAATCACCAAACAGCCTGGCCTCCACTCCCTCCTTCGTGTTTCTGTTGGTGGTGGCAACCGGCTGGGGTAGGGAGGTGGCTCATGGCCACAGAACGCATGTAGCAAGTAAGCCCACACACTTTGTGAGCACACAATTCACATACTATGTGTCTGTGTGTTTTAAAAATATCCCACAAATGAGTGCAATCGTTCTTTATCTGTCCCTTTTCCTCCGACTCATTTCACTTAGCATGATATTCCATGTCCATCCATGTGTGAGCAAATATGACTTTGTTTCCTCATAGTGTGACAGTAATATATTTAATAAATGGTTATAACCATAAAACTTTATCCTAAATACTCATATTGCAATGATAAAACACAGGGTTAGATAAATCACAGGAAATAGGGCAAAATATGGTTTAGTTGGCATTTCTAAAATATATTCACACCCTCTAAGCAGCATCCAAGTGAGAATACAACATATATTTATTTAGAAGAGTTGAATTCATCTATTTTAGGCAGGAATTAAGCAGAACGGCAATGCAGAATTATAAGACAAAAATGAATCAATGCAAAAATACTTTATTATAGCAACAGGCAACATATAAAACAAATACAAACTTTAAGTGTCTATAAAACTACACTATTCAATGTGATGGTGCCAGCACACTCAAATTTTGGGAGCATAAAGCAATAATAATATGAGCAAGGTGCTTGGTTTATAGAGGGCTGCCCTAAGTTTGACCCCTGGCATACTATATGGCCCACTGAGGCAGCCCCTTCCCACCTCCCCAAGATATTAACAGTATTCCACTAATCTCTGCTAGGAATCTCAAGAGTGATTCCTGAGCTCAGCGTCAGAAATATCCTTCAAACTCCTTTAAAAACAGGCTAAACTGCCATTTCCATTTTAATTGTCGGATGAGGATTGTACCCTTCAATCTGGAAGTCTTCAGCCTTGAAGTCATCAATTCTGTCAACTTTCCGAAGTATTTTGAGCTTTGGGAAAGGTCTTGGTTCTCGCTGAAGCTAAAAACAACATAAGACCATTATTTTGACCATATCCGTACAGTAGGGCACTTGCCTTGCACCTGGCTGGGCCGGCTGACTCAGGTTCGATTCCTCTGCCCCTCTTGGAGAGCCCGGCAAGCTACCAAGAGATCTCGCCCACATGGCAAAGCCTGGCAAGCTACCCATGACGTATTCCACATGCCAAACACAGTAACAAGTCTCACAATGGAGACGTTACTGGGCCCACATGAGCAAATCAATGAATAACGGGAGGACAGTGCTACAGTGCTACATGTCCTTTCATAAATTAAGTTTGACAGTATTATCTTACAGGAGTGTAATACTGCAAATATCTTATCTTCGGTTTTCTGAGACTCAACAAAGGACAACTTACTGATTATCTTGCACTATGCTGAGTAAAGGTATTTGTGCAATCAATCACAATGTCAGAGCTTGGTGGATCACCTGGAAGAAGTTCTTTTAATTGATTGATTTTGGTATAAGTATAGACTTTAAAGGTTGTACTGCACTTCAGTCACAGCACATATGCACCTTGTGTTTGTTATTACAGTTTGGTAATTCTGACAGTATTTCATTGTTCTTCATTATTGTTATAGCTATATGGTAATCTGTGACCACTATTATTACAATTTGTAATGGTTAGGGACCCCATAAACCACATCCACATAGATGGAAAACATAATGGATACCTGTGTGTTCCCTTAGAATTGACCTACATTCGTCCCTTCTTCCTCCCTTCCTGCCTCCCTACCCTATTCCCTGAGACACAACACTGATGAGGCCAATTACTCTAATTGGCTTCTGGATGCTCAAATGATGGGCATCACCTGTCTCTCACTTTAAATTCATAATAATAATAAATGTTTCTAAAAGTCAAGACAGTCTTGAAATCTAGGACTCTCTGGCCAAACAGCAAAGCTGTGAATGCCAGGGAGTTCTTAAAGGCAATTAAAAGAACTATTCCAGGAGCCGGAGCGATAGTCAGCAGGTAGGGCATTTGACTTGCATGCTGCTGACCTTGGGTTCGATCCCTGGTGTCTCTTATGATCCCCTGAGCACCACCAGAAGTAATTTCTGAGTGTTCTGGGTGCAGAGCCAGTAGTAGTAACCCCTGAGCATCAACAGGTATGACCGAAAAAGATAAAAACAAACAAAACAAACAACGCTATTCCAACAAATAACAAAATTGAAGCAGTCTTACTGTCAATATGGAGACAGATGTACTCCTAGCTACGCTTAGGGATCACTCTTGGCAGGGGTTGGGGATTGAACTCTGATCGGCCACATGCAAGGCAAGTGCCCTACTCGCTGTACTATCTCTCCAGTTCCTAATGTTAACTCCTTGTAAAGAGGAGTACATACTCAGCAGTGCTCAGGAATCACTCCTAGTGGGACTCAGAGGACCATATGGGGTGAAGGATCAATCTGGGAAGCTGTGTGGAAGGCAAGTGCCTTATGAACTGTACCATCACCCAGCCTGGAGGTAGTTTTAGTGATCCTGAGAGAAGATCATAAAAGCTGCAACACTCCCTAAAGCCAAAGTCTGTCACTGTCCACTGTCCTCCTGTTGTTCATCGATTTGCTCGAGCGGGCCCAGTAATGTCTCCATTGTGAGACTTCTTGTTACTGTGTTTGGCCAAGACAAAGTCTAATCCAAAGCATTATTTCAGTTTTGTTCAATCCTTTAAGGTTGAGAGGTAGAAAAACTACTGGACTCTGAAGATAGTCAGTGGCTACTTCATGAGGTTTAAGAGATCAAAGCGCAAGATGAAGTATTGATGTAGAAGTGGCAACAAACTCTCCATTTCATCTCATATCACTGATGAAGGTGTCTACACGAAACAATAGTTTCTATGTAAACAAAACAGCCTTACATAGAAAGTGCCATCTAGGACTTCCATAGCTAAAAAGGAAAGTCAAAGCCTGGTTTCAAAGCTGCAAAAGTGAGGTTGGAGCAATAGCACAGCAGGGAGGGCGTTTGCCTTGTATGCGGCCAACCCGGGTTCGATTCCTAGCAACCCATATGGTCCCCTGAGCACAGCCAGGAGTAATTCCTGAGTGCAGAGCCAGGAGTAACCCCTATGCATCGCTGGGTGTGGCCAACAAAGAAAGCAAACAAACAAACAAACAACCTGCAAAAGACAGGTCAACTCTCCTACTGGGAGCTGAAGCCTGTGCTCATCAACATCCCCCAGACATGAGGGCCCTTTCAGAACTATGCTTTCTACTCTGCCTGTGCTCTCCAAATAAATGAAACAAAGCTGGGAAGGCAGAATACCTGTTTACATGGTCTATCAGTTTACTGAAAACCTGAAGTTCACTTTTGAGAATTTACTGCTCAGAAAAAGATCCTCTTCAAGATATTACTATCATTGATAATGCATGCAGTTAGCAAGAGCTCTGATGGAGATGTAAGAGAGATCAATGTCATTTTCGTGCCAATAAACACAGTATCTATTCTGTGGTCAATGGACGAGAGTCATTTCAACTTTCAAGTCCTATTAAAGATACGCATCTCATAAGTTTTTTGCTGTCAGTGCTCTCTGATGAGCTGGGTGATCTTCTGGAAAGGATTCCTCATTCCAGATACCTCAAAGAATACTTGTGATTCAAGGAAGGTCAAAATATCCCCATTTGCAGGAGCTTAGAAGAAAAGGACATCCTCATGAATATCACTGAGGGTTTTAAGAGTTCAGTAGAGGAAGTACTGCAGATGTGGAGAAAATTCCAAGAGAACTAGAATTAGAAGTGGAGTGTGAAGATGTGACTGAATGGTTGTGATTTTATGATACTTTCAGGGATGAGTATAACTACTTTTTTTAGGAGCCTCCCAAGGGGTACTCTGGGGACCATTCTTGGACAGCCGGGCTGGATGGTTGAATGCCTGGGCCAAGGATGTGGTGACACGCAGGCCATGGGAACCACCAGGGCCACATTGTTAAGCTTGGGGGGTTCACATGATGCCAGAGTACCAGCATGCAAGGCATGTACCCTAGCCCCTATACTATCTCCCCGGCCCCAAGGAGCATGTTTCTTGAGATGAGATCTACTCTTGGTGAAGACACTAACACTGCTGAAATGACAACAATGGATTTTAGTATTACATAAATGTAGTTGATAAATAGCAGCAAAATTTAAGGCTGACTCCATTTCCAAGTTCTACTGTGAGTAAAATGCTAGTAAAAAAATCTCTTATGAAAGGAAATCAATACATGTGGCAAACATCACAGTTATATTTAGAAACTGCCAACCAGCCCACCCTTCAGCAACTACAACTGTGAACAGTCAGCAGCTATCAACATGAAGGTAAAACAGCAGCGACTTGTTAGAAGTGCAGAAGATCTATTATTTTTAGCATCAAAGTGCTTTCAAACTAAGGTTTTTTGTTTTTTTTTTTTTTAGGCATAAGGCTCTTGCTACAGCAGAGCTTCTCAGCTGTGGCTTCATCCAACCTTGTTTCTTTCTGTGGACCTCACCCCTTCACCAAGTGGCCCCTAGTCTTGTGTGGCCTCCCACAATTATCTGACCATTGTCCTGTGGATGGAGATATCTTAGGAATATCTTGGGAGCCCAGAGTGAGAAACCCAGAAGGGCTAGACTCGTGTAAATAAAACTTTTCTATGGACAAGGGAAAAAAATTACGACTTACTTTATCACGTTTTATTAAGTTTTTGAAAATTGAGCTAATTTTATTTCATATGACTGTATATTCCAGGGGATCTTGAGTGGTCACCATTTTCTATGGGAGCGGAATATGATACCATTCTTATTGGACAACAAAGATCACTGATTACAGATGAGATAAAATAAGGAAAAAGCTCGAAATACTGCAAGAATTAACAAAATATGGGGCTGGAGCAATAGCACTGGGGGTAGGATGTTTGCCTTGCACGCCGCCAATCCAGGGTTCGAGTCCCAGCATCCCATATGGTCCCCCAAGCACCGCCAGGAGTAATTCCTGAGTGCAGAGCCAGGAGTAACACCCCCCCCCCCAAATAAAAAGAAATAACAAAATGTGACCAATGCACAGTGATCATATGCCAGTGGAAAAATGGTGCTGACAGACTTGCTTCTAAGCAGGGCTGCTATGACCTTCAAAGGTGAAAGCAGTATCCGTGAATCAGAACAGAGGGCAGACTGTCTTGGGACAGTCAGCGATTTGTACTCAGTTTCACTGACTTAACCAAAAGCAGATTGAAAATACATTAGTGACACCTATGATGGCTGTGCCTGTACCCAACACGCAGACCCCTCTTGTCATTATTCCTTAAAAAAATATAGCGTACCAGTAATTTATCTGGTATATACATGTTATTGCAACCATGCGAGAGGATGTGTAAAGGCTACATGTAACCACATTTTATGTAAGGGATTTAAATGTAAAGGAGTTTGGTATCTACAGGGGTCCTAGAGCCAAGCTTCTGGATGAGGACTTAGTGCTCTACAGCACCCACTGTGTTAAGTGTTGCGGCCACTGACAGGTGAGTCGGCCTCATTCTTGTTACCACCTCCTGTCCCCACACTAAAGTCCTAGAGTCGGAGCAGTCACCTTCCCTACATCACAGACTTTCCTAAGACATGTTTCATAAATGAGCCCTACTTTTTAATCACGAATCAATTTTTCACCAAGAGGAAGCACCAAATTCCAAAGTGTGACAGATTTCTTACCTGTACTTTCAGTGGCTCAATGTGGTTCAGGTAAATATGTGCATCTCCCAAAGTATGTACAAAGTCACCTGGCTAAATCCCATGGGAGAGAGCAAAACAGGACATGTTTTAGTACCAATTCCTTTAAAACACATCATTTAAATACATTGCATAGGATGCATATCTATCCCAAAGCTTTCCAGAAATTAACTGTGATAGTATTTTTAAAAATTGACAAAAGTTCATTTGTAAAGGTTGTCTAGTATGACAATCTATAGCAGATAAATCAGATAAATCAGATGCTCGGGGGACCACATGAGTACTGGGGACTGCATCTGGGTTGGCCATGTACAAGGCAAGCGCCTTACCCACTGTGCTATCACTCTGGCCCCCCATTTCTTAAACTAATTAGAGACTGCGATGAGTGCTCCACATGAAAGCAGCCAAGAGGCCTGTGCATTAGGCTGGAGATAACCTTTCCTTCCCAAGCGCAGCCCACCTTCAGGCCGGTGACATGTGCGATCATGTAGGTGAGTAGAGCGTAGCTGGCAATGTTGAAGGGCACACCCAGGCCCATGTCTCCTGACCTCTGGTACAGCTGGCAGGAGAGCTCACCATTCACCACATAGAACTGGCAGAGGGCGTGGCATGGAGGTAGGGCCATGAGAGGGAGATCTGAGGAGCCAGCACAGAGGGAAAAGAAAAGAGGCATGGTTTGGGAGGATACAATCACGGGGAAAGCACCGCAGGACAAACAGCCAAATCACAGGGTGGGGAGCATGACAAAGAGCCACTGGGCAAGGGGAGAATGACAGTCATTTCACCCCTATCCAAAAGCTCCACTTCAAACCAACCCCAGGCAGCAGCCTGTCTGCAGACTCTTGTGGACACCCATGGAAGGCAGGAGCAGCACTCTGAGCTGAGAGAACGTGCTCCTCCCTTGTGGCACCCCAGTACCCATCGGGAACAATTTCTTTAGCAGGCCCCACGGGAAACCAGCATCTCAGACACCACCCTGCATTCAAAGTCTCTTTCATAAATGCAAAAAGGTGGACATCCAGCCTAGGCAGTACTTACAAAACCTTGGCAGAGTTTTATTTTAAAATGGTTTAAAGTTTTAATATGATCTGAGCAGAAGTGGTTACCTCCTGTCAAAGGACTTCTGAGTCCCTACACGCTGGGGGTGGCCCCTGAGCATTGCCTGGTGTGGCCCCCAAATCAAAATACATATTGAGCTGCAAACTGACAGAAATGTAGGATTTTGTGTATTTGGGGGTCACACAGGGCAAGGGCCATTCTTGATGTAGTACTAGGGGGGCACCTCTAGTGTTGTTAGGAAGCATATGGTGCTGGGGGTTTGAACCCAGGGCTCCCACATGAAGACATCTCACCTGAGGTCTCTCACTGGCTCTATTTAGGCATTTAGGGCAGGGGTGGTGACACACTCCCTAGGTTACTTGGGGCCTGGGGGCCACTCCTGATGATACTAGGCCCAGTTTGAAACCTGAATGCAAGTGGGTCAACAGGGCCAGTCCTGGGTCATAGTAGGTCACACTTGGCAGGTCACGCTGTGCTGAAGATCAAACATATGCAAGGCATGCGCTCCAGCCCTCGGGGCCACCCCCAAACCCCCATTTAGACCACATGGTCCCCTTTGGAATAAGGGCAAGCAGAAATATAAATAAGTAAATAAAAGAACACTCAAATTAAGATCTTCCAGGTCCAGCTCCACTGCTGGAACGGAAAGTGAAGCCAAATATGATCTGCCCAGCCATAATGGCAATTCTGGGCCCGGACTGCTGATGGGGACCTCCAAACAACGTCACACTGTATTCCCTCATGCTAATGGTGGAGTTAGGACAAGAAGATGACAGGGATGCTATCAACCTTTTGGATTCCAAGCACACATGATGATTCTTCTGTCATCGGGGTTGGTTTTGATGGTGTCAATCACTTTTTGCAGCTGGTCTACACCTTGACCTGAATAATCTGCAGAAATGCCAGAAAGAGAGAATCAGTCAGTAATCTGGCTAATCACAACATTGCCCGAGGCAGCACAGGACATTGATCACAGCACCCTCCCACACCCCTTGCTTCCTACAAATTCCTCATGTTGAGTCCAGGGCCCTCACTAGGCTCCTAGCAGTGGCCTGTTGAGCCATTAAAGAGTCTATTTCTACATAAGAGTCCTCTGAATATTTTGTCATGCTGTCACTCCTTCCAATCTTACTTTGTCCCAGCGATCCCTAGGGAATGTGTAAATCTACAGAGTCATCCACAATTCTTGTCACACTTTACTGACAATCTACTTCACCCATGTTCCATAGAAGAATGAGACCCTTAATTAGAATATGCCACTCCATACAAGCTGTGACTAACAGTACCTTCTTCCAACACTTCTGTCTCATTACGGTTTAGCAGAAAAATGCCTCTGGACTTAGAAAGTACAGGGAAACTTCTGCAGTTATACCACTTTGCACCTTTCTCCTATTTCTGTTCTTTGGTCTTTGATTCATTGCTATCTTTCTGAAATGAAAGTGAAAGCTAAGAACTCTGGAGTTACATCACAACCACCACGAATTACGACCACGCTGTTATTCTTCGATTGCCTCGAGCAGGCCCCAGTAATGTCTCCTTCATCCTAGCCCTGAGACTCCTAAAAATCTCAGGAGTTACATATTCTCTGATTAAATTCCCCTTACTGGTGTCACTCTATGCTCTACTTCAATAACTATTTGTTCTTGGAAGAAAAGTCTTATAAGTATGATTCCAAAACGGTAACGGCAGACTCTTAATAACTAATGTATGGAGATGCTATTGTTTGCATAGCCTGACTGTGGTGGTCACTGTATAAATCCATGCCCAACTATGCACACGCACACACACAAATAAGCACACGGAAATGGAGAAATGTAGCAAGTTCTGTGGATTTTACTAATGTCAATTTATGGGAGCTATTACCTGAGAAGTCATTTGGGAGAAAACCGAGTTAAAGTTACAGAGACCCCTCTGCACCTTTTAATTTTCTTTTATAGACAGAATTACGTCAAGATAAAAAATTTCAAAACAAAGTACTGAAATTGACAGTTAAACAGTCATACAGTTCTAAAACTAAGGGTACAAGTTCATTAGGCTCCATAAATTCTCAATTAACAAATAATTGAACACCAGGCAGGATTTAAGACACAATTAAAGCTAGGAGAGCAATAGTATATTTGAGGGTGTTCAAGGACAGAGGTCAGTCATAAGCAGATGATTTATCTGCAGGAAAAATAGGACCCACACAACATCTTTTTCACAAGTATGTGTGCCAGGCTAAGATCAAACTAAATTGATCATTTTATGACCATGTCTAAGCATGTGAATCATGCGTGACATTACACGCATTCCCAGTGTCGAGTAAGTCATCACTGTCCATCCAGATCTTTTTTTAGCTTCTCAAACGGCAACTCTGTACTCATTAAACAAGTATTTTCAGTCTCTATGAAGTTGTCTACCCAAACTTTGCACAGCCCATTCAAACTTACTGAAGTTGCCAACAAAGAAAGTATCTCAAGATCACACATAAAATGCAGATGTTGTGACAGCACATTTGACGTCAGTCCGTACTCCTTCAACCAGAGATGAAAGTGACTCCTCTGGATATGAGTCATGCTTTTCTGATTACTGATAATCAGAACTTTTCTGATTACTGATAATCCAGGTAACACTTTTCTCCTCGTTTTTTGTTTGGTTATTTTTGGGTCATTCTAGGGCTTATTCTGGGCTCTCTGTTCACAGATCACTTCTAGCAATGTGCAGGGAACCATGTGAGACCAGGGATTGAACCAGGGTCAGTTACATACAACACCTTAACCCCTCTACTATCTCTCCCTCCCGCACTCCTGCTAGCAAACTACTTCACACACGTGTGTACAAACACACACATACCCACACCCACACCCACACCCACACCCATGTTAGGCATTTGCTTTTGCAAACACCATTCCAAGGACAGAACAGGACAGGAAGGTCAAGGATCAGGGCTAGGTTCTTGGTGCCAAGTGAGAAAGGAAGGGAGGCAGCCACCCAGAAGCAATGTTTCAGCTTCCTCTAGCACAGCAGAGCAGGAAGAGCGAGCTGAGAAGCAAACTGTCATAGCAGTGCTCCTTGAAAAGGGAGATAGACACAATTCCTAGGTGTCTTGTTTCCCAGATTAACTTCCTGCCTTCTTCCCAACACAGCAACCAACAATGTGACATCTGCTAATGAGAGGTCGAGAGGTTTAGTAAATGCCAAGCACCTAATACATGCCAAGGGTGTGCTCTGGATTTCCATGAGGTTTATTTATTTTGGTTTCTAGGCCACACCTGGTGGTGCTCTGGGCTTACTCCTGGCTCTGAGCTCAGGACTCCTGGAGGGCTAAGGTGAATAAATGAAGTGCTGGGGCTCAAACCTGGGATGCTGGAGCATGCAAAGCTAGTGCTTTACTTGTTAGACTATTGCTCTGGCTCCCCGTAAGGTTTAGTTGAGACTCTGCTACCGAAATCTGAAACAGCCTCTCAGGAGATGATCAGGAGATATATCAGCTCGCCAGATACTGCTTTCTTATCCCCTAGAATTTGTTTGTTCGCAACAATAAATTCACGATCTGACGGACACGCAGGAAACCTGAAGCATTGGTGCCTCCTCACCTGAATCTTTATCTTTGTATTCTGCTCCAAAATGCCTCCACTGAAAGCCGTAAACTGGGCCTAAATCCCCTTCTTCTCTGTTGGAGAATCCAAGGCTGTCCAAGAAATCTCGGGACCCGTTGGCATCCCAGATTTTCACTCCCTTAGATGACAGCTCATTAGCATTTGTGGATCCCTAGAAGAGTCAAGAAAGAACAGGCATCCAGGTGAATTCTGGGCCAAAGGGGCTGACCCCCCCAAAAGTCTCCCATCTGGTGTACTTTCACCCTCCGCAGACAGGGGCATAAGCCCCAACACCCCCGCAGGCCATCATGCCTTTACACTGGTCCCAGTTCAAACTTCCAGTCTAACTTCTTCTTTGGAATGACACTCCTAAAATCCTTCCCCCCCCCCCCATTTCCCTCAACTAAGGTCTCAATACTAAATTCTCCCCTCCATTATTTCAAGTTCATGTCAGTTTTGCATTGCTATTTAAAAACAAAACAAACAAACAAACAAAACAAAACCTGGCAGGGGCGGGGATATGGGGAGGTGGGGCCGAAATCTGTGGTACGCTTGGTGCACTCCAGCCTGTTGAGCTATGCTCCAGCTTAGGTTTTGTGTTTTTAACCAAATGCACTGTCTGTGGAGCCTCAAAATAAACAATACCTCACATGCCTCTGAGCAGTGTCTCTTAGATATGGTATGAAGAGTATTTCTACTGACTGGTCTGATGACTACTCCTTTTTCTGGGAAATGTATCAGACATACATGTGTTACTATAGTTATTGCCAGCTTACATTTGCATAGTTTTGGTTTTTGTTTGTTTGGGGAAGCACAAGCCTTATGTTTACTTCTCTTGTATTTTATTCTCACTAAATTTGATCCTGGTCATCCTAATCAGCATCTGGAAATGCATCCAGGTAAGGAACTGACTAGAACTCTTTCAGGTATGACTCGATATAGTTACAAGAATATGGAGACAATACTTAGGCTCTGTGCCCAGGAGATCTCTCACCTCCCTTCTTGGATCAGCTGCCTAACTCCACTAGTCAATACTATTCACATGATTTGCTGTCAGGATTAGGGTCACTGACAATTAAGACAGGCCAGGACAGAATAAGCTACCCCAAGAATATAGCACCATGGATGATGAAGCAATTTCTAAACCTCTTCTGAAAATGGGTAAGAGGTCTTACTTGGTCTGAGCCCACAGCAACCGCACTATGGAATGGACCCTATCATCTAGTTCAGCCTAGAACAAAGCCCGTCTTCTCCCCCTCTGACCAGCACTGGCAGAATATCACCGGTCTGGACCAGGAGTCAAGCAGGGAGAAAGTCAAGTCATTGCCTGTCACTAGCATTTGGGCCCTCACCAGAAATTACTTACTTGGTTCTTGGGAAGAGGCATAAGAGAGACCTTTCCAGTTTAAAAGATATACTATGCTAAGGCTGGCTGGGGTCTCTATTTAGTGATCAGTATGAGTACCTACTATGTGGCACTGCAATTTAGGCCCTGGGAAAAAGTGAACAAGAGAACAAAATTCTCTTATATGGTTACTTGCTTTACTTAGCATTGCTTTTTTACTTATTATTATCTTCCCTTTTGGGGAAGGGGGTGCTGCAAACATTATCCAGTTGGTGATAATGGTAAATCCAAGGTACATTCGGATGAGGGTATGGAAGGGTGATTATGGTCTTGTATTGGGAGGTCACTAAGCAGAGACAAAGAATGTGAGGAAGTGGCCCATGCTAAATGCAAAGGGAACAAGGTTCTGGGAGCAGGACCAACAAGTGTCAGAGACCTAGCTGGAAATGTCCTGATGATCTACAAATTTTCAGAGGTCGTCAGAGCAGGTGGCACAATGACTTGGGCAACAGCTGCTGAGGTCAGAGCCAGAATAGGGCACAGTAAGGACTCTGCTTTTCGAGTGTGAAATGTAAGCCATTAACAGCCAGAGCATAGAGTGCTATCATCTGACTTTAAAAAGGACATGTTCTGTGCTGAGTGTACCATCAACTTCCATTACGGTGACTTCCTTACCTTGATAAACCATAGCAACTCTTCCAAAACACCTTTCCAGAACACACGTTTGGTTGTCAACAGAGGGAATTCATCTGAAAGACAGTTCACCACATTAGTACGTGGAAATATTGACCATGAAACACAACTTCCTCTGTGGAAGCAAACTGCTCTGAGACCCAGGTCCTGTGAGCATAGGAATAAGTAGAAAAGCATGACTCCATGATGTGGCCACCTGCATTGGGTGCAGCCCGCAGTCTGCAACACCAAACACTGGCCATTCAGACAGTCTGTCCTTCTGAGTTCTAGGATCACCAGCTGCAGAACTGCACAGTGAGATGGAGTGGAGTCAAGGTGGGGATAATGACTGAACAAGAGCCAAATCTATTACACTATTGATGTGAATCCTTCACTAATATAAAGATAACACTTAAAATTGCCTTTGGACAAAGCCAGAAGACTCCCAGAGTTATCCCAGAGTTACCCTGTCAGGGAAAACTTCCTCAGGTATCTTTAGCCCAAACTGAAGAAGCACCTATAGGTGCTTGCAAAGACAACAGGTCAGCTTTGAAAGTATACAAAAATAGTCACTATTTAACCATCTGTATACACATCATTGATTCTCTTTAATCTTCAAAACAATTCTTGAGATATTATTATTATACTGGGGGGGGGGGGGAGTTGTATGTTTTGGGGTCATACCGGGCTGTCCTCAGGACTCACTCCTGACTTTGCATTCAGGGATCACTTCTGGCACTGCTGGGGGACTTTAGAGTCCTGCAGATCAAACCCAGGTCAGCTGTGTGCAAGGCAAATACCTTCTTCACTGTACTTATTGCTCTGGCCCCAAGATATCATTGTTTTAAAAGCAGCTGGAGGCATCAGAAAGTATGCATTAAGCAATACAGTTAAAAAAAAAATGTTGGGACTGGAGAGATAGCATAGCCTTAAGGTGCTTGCCTTGTGCACAGCTGATCCTGGCTTGATCTCCAGCATGGTCCCCTAAGAAGCATCCCAGAGCACAGAGCCAGGTGTGTGCACCTTCAGCACTTCTGGGTGTGGCACTAAACACAAACAAAAAGAGTAAAAGCTTATCTTTAAACTCAGTCCAGGTCCTGAGAAATAACAGTTGGATCCCCGTAATTTTTTACGTGCTTGCTTTTTCAGTAATGCCTACTAAGCAGTATTCCCTCCACTTTGAACATAGAGACGATGAAGACCAGAAAGATGAGCATGCCCAAGGTCTTGGCAGATGAGCTGGACTGAAAATTCCGTCTGTCAGAGGGAGGACAAATATTGCATGTTCCCACTGACCTGTGGCATGCAGTCACAAAACAAGAGGATGCAAGGTCTGAATGACAGCCATTCTGGGGCTGCCAGGGGAGAAGGGAGCTGGATGAGGAGGCTGACTGGTGGTCACATATAGGCCCTGGTCCCAGTCTTGGTGCAGAGATAACATACATCAAAATTCAAAGTCGACTCTACTGTTAGCATGTGATCCAAACCATTTGGATAGAATCAACTAAGAAGGCGGATGAGGAGAAAGGGGGAGACTTGGAGGGACAACGACCCTGGTGCATGCAGGCTGGGAGTTGAAACACAGGATGCCTGAGTTAAGAGCTTTGCCAATCACGGTGAATAAGCAAACACATTATAACAGTAAATCAAAAGAGAACTAGGTCTGTGGCACATTGGCAGCCCCTGAATTTGGGGCTGTAGGAAAGTGTAGAAATCTGCTGGGACCAAAGTCCCCAAGGCAATTGGGTCATGGGAGGGTGGGGGGGGAGGAGAGGGAGGGTGTTGAGGGGCTATTCCAGTCTCTGGAATCCACTCTCCACTCCTCCAACAAAGCCAACAGGCTCCTCCAACAGCGGGTCCCCCTCACTCCAGTAGGGTCACTGTTCCACAGTGGGGTGAAGGACGCGCCTCACTAGTTCAGGGGGGAAGGGTGGGCGTGGTCTGTCTGTAAATTGTCAGGGAAGGTCAATCCTTGGCCCCATTGTCCTGTGTCCAGTACAAAGTCAGACGCTAAAAGCCTCCGGGGACTCTTCCCCCCATGGACCCCTCCCGCTTTAGGCTTTCCATCCTTGCGGGGAGAACCGCAAGTTCTTCCCGCCAGACTCAGTCCGTCCCGCCCTCCTGCCACGTGACAGCTTTGCTCCAGGGCGCGGGCGGCCGCTCAGCTGGCGGGGCGCTGGCCTTGCAAGCGGCAGGCCTGGGTTCTCCCCGGACACCCCGTACGGTCCCCGAACTCGTCAGGAGTGACCCCTGAGCGTGGCCCCCAAATAAAAACAGCAAGCAAAGCTCTCCAGTTAAACCAGGCCGTCAGGCAGATCCGGGCGGACGCCCCTCTTCCCGCTGTCTCCGAGGAGCGTAGACGAGCCCCCTTTGGAGGGACTGCAGAACGGGGGGACCGAATGACCACCCCACCCCCGGCCCCGCCGCGGCCTCACCTCGCAGGCTGTAGCGCGCCTGCATGCCGAACACCGACAGGGTGCCGGTGCCCGTGCGGTCCTCCTTGCGCACCCCGCTGCGGAGGATGTGCTCGAGCTGCCCCAAGTACTGCCGCTCCCCGTGCGGGCACGGCGGGTCGGAGCCGGCGTCGGGCATCTCGCGGGCGACTGCGGGTCCCGGGCCAGGCGGTGGAGGCGAGCGACGGGCAGGGGCGCGACTGCACGTTGGCTTCCCGGGTCTTTTCGTTTTTCCCGCCGCCGCGAGGTGGCTCCGCCCCTTCCGTTGGGGGGTGGGGAAGGCTCCAGCTCCAGGAACGCGCTCCCTTGCAGTCCGTGCAGCCCTCGGAAGCCCGTGGGAGCCCGTGCAAAAACGTGATGAGCTTACTGCATCTTTAAAGTTGAGAACCTTTGGTCTGAATAACATCTAACGCGTGTCTGTGGGCGCTTTGGATGCGAAAACACTCTAGTTAGAAATTTTCCCAGTGGGACACTGCCATTAACTGATCTAGGGGAAGAATGAATTTGCCACAGGAGTCCCACTCCTGTGAAATCTAAAATCCAACAGAACCCAGTTCTTTGAGGCGCGTTTCCTATAATTAAGGGATATGCTTTCGGGTGATTTGCGTTTCCTTTTTCTCCATCCTTGCTGAAGGATTGCAACTGGAACAAGTGGAATCACGGTCAGGGTCCTCCCGTTGTTCATCGATTTTCTCCAGCGGCCCGTGAGACTTGTTACTGTGTTTGGCATATCCAATACATCACGGGTAGCTTTGCGGTGGGGGTGAGGATACTCTTAGTAGCTTGCCAGGCTCTCCAAGAGGGATGGAGGAATCGAACTCCGGTTGGCCAGGTTGGCTGTGTGCAAGGCAAACGCCCTACCTGCTGTGCTATCGCTCCAGCCCGACAAGTGGAATAAGGCAGGGTTTTGTATTGTTTTGGAATAAGGCAGTTTGAAACGGGTTTAATGCCAGCTACGTGTTTTCAAGTTTTTTTATACCAGAATTTTCTATTGTAATGAAATAAAATAGTGGGCTGGAACTATATAAGTTTAAGTGTACGTGTTTTACAGGCTCCGATTTTTGGCATCAATACGTTTTTTAATAATATTTTGCCCAATTCCATATGGTCCCCTGAGTACCGCCAGGAGTGAGTTCTGAGTGCAGGGCCAGAAAGAACCCCCGAGCATCCCCAGGTGTGACCCAAAATGACAAATAAGTGATTTTAAAAATAAAGGTATCCTTTTTCTTTGTGTTTTATCATTTTAAATATTAACAGTGTAGCAAATATAGGTGTGACTCCAACTGGGACCAAGAACTTTTGTTTGTCTAGTTTGAAGGCCACACCCAGCAGTGGTCAGAGGCTATCCCTGGCTCGGTGCTCAGGGATCACTCCTGGCAGTACTGAGCATCAAACCAGGGTTGGTCAGAAGTGGCTGTTTGCAATGATCTATTTCCAGTATAACTTCTCTCACTGGAAGAGATCAGCAATTGTGCAGCCTTCAGAGACACGGTGCCGTGGTTAAGGTGTTTTGCCTTGGTCATGGCTGACCATTCTATCCCCGGGAGCCCTGCCAGGAGTCATCCCTGAGCACAGAGCGAGGAGAAAGTCCTAAGCACCACTGAGTGTGCCCCCACACCAAAAACAACGAAAGTAGTTGTACAATAGTTATTCTGCCCAGATCTGTCTGGAGCTCCATTTAGCATCCAGGAAGTTGGACAGAGTCTGCCCGGAGCATTTTCTCTTCCTTCTCACTCCTGGAATAGGAAAAAAAAAAAAAAGAATATTTTGCCCAGAATTATTTGCATCTATGTCAGTGTGTCTGGGTAGCTGAAGGATAAGATGTAGTCTTCATTGAAACTTTTAAAACAGTATTTCTTGGCATTCAATGAAGTCTAGGGCTTTTTCAGGTTGTCTTATTGTCTGCAAGATTTCTGGAATGTTTTTGCTGAAGTGTACCTTTCAAACTCAAGGTTGAATTCTGTGTAGACATTAAAATGTCTGAAATAAGGTTAACAGCCTTTTATTGTGCCAATTAACTTTTTTTTAAATTTATTTATTTATTTATTGAATCACTGTGGGAAAGGTTACAAAGCTTTCAGGTTTATGTCTCAGTCATGCAAATATCAAACACATTTCCCTTTACCAATACTTATTTTTTACCCTGAAGAACCCCAATAAAACCCCACCCCCCACCCCTCCCCGTCCCTGTGAGGCAGATGAATTCTAGTTAACACTCTATCTGCTTTGATTAGATTCATTGTTTCAATAAAAGATTCACCACTATTATTTAGAGTTTACCCCCCCCCCCCAAATCAGACATGCTGAAAAAGCATTATGAAGTGATTTGCTTTCTACAGCTGGGTTCAAGAATTAAATGTTGGTTTTGGATTTCTGCTATTTTACCTATTGACCCTGGAAGTATTTCTACTGAAAGTCAGATAGTTAAGAAATTGGTTTCTGTGTTCTGGAGTCGTGGCCGTGCTGGAGAGCCGCTCGCGGAGGGCAACCGGTGGCCTCGGTAGGGCGTGAAGGGTGGAGCGAAACGCCTCCCTTCCCATGAGGTTTTAGTCGCCCCCACACCCCCGGCTCATACCTGCTGTCCACAAGGCTCCCATGGGGCCGCCATCTTTCTTTCCAGAGGGAGGAGGGCGGAAGGGAGCAACACCCTTTCCCCTCTGGGCAGAAATGATTGCCTGGATTAACGCATAGTCCTTTCACTTTTCTGCTCCAAGCTGCTGGGTTCTGCATCAGGTCATTGTGCTTCTGGGGCTGTGGCCGTGCTGGAGAGCCGCTCGTGGGGGCAACTGGTGGCCTCGGTAGGGCGTGAAGGGCGGAGCGAAACGCCCCCCTTCCCATGAGGTTTTAGTCGCCCCCACACTCCCGGCTCATACCTGCTGTCCACAAGGCTCCCATGCGGCCGCCATCTTTCTTTCCAGAGAGGAGAGGGCGAATGGGGCAACACCCTTTCCCCTCCGGCAGACTTGATGGCCTGGATCAACGCATAGTCTGTTCACTTTTCTGCTCCAAGCTGCTGGGTTCTGCATTAAGTCCTTGTGCTTCTGGGGCCGTGGCTGTGCTGGAGAGCCGCTCGTGGGGGGCGACTGGTGACCTCGGTAGGGCGTGAAGGACGGACCGGAACGCCCCCCTTCCCATGAGGTTTTAGTCGCCCCCACACCCCCGGCTCATACCTGCTGTCCACAAGGCTCCCATGCGGCCGCCATCTTTCTTTCCAGAGGGAGGAGGGCGGAAGGGAGCAACACCCTTTCCCCTCCGGGCAGACATGATGGCCTGGATTAACGCATAGTCCTTTCACTTTTCTGCTCCAAGCTGCTGGGTTCTGCATTAAGTCCTTGTGCTTCTGGGGCTGTGGCTGTGCTGGAGAGCCGCTCGTGGGGGGCAACTGGTGACCTCGGTAGGGCGTGAAGGACGGACCGGAACGCCCCCCTTCCCATGAGGTTTTAGTCGCCCCCACACCCCCGGCTCATACCTGCTGTCCACAAGGCTCCCATGCGGCCGCCATCCTTCTTTCCAGAGAAGAGAGGGCGAATGGGGCAACACCCTTTCCCCTCCAGCAGACTTGATGGCCTGGATTAACGCATAGTCCTTTCACTTTTCTGCTCCAAGCTGCCGGGTTCTGCATTAAGTCCTTGTGCTTCTGGGACTGTGGCCGTGCTGGGGAGCTGTGCCAATTAACTTTTCTGAATTTTCTCAACACAAACAGTTGCAGCCCTTTATGTGGTAACAAAGCGAATACAAAATGACCAATCCCAGGAAAATGTACAAAATAGCCAGACATTTCTGCTGAAAATGGAGGGAAAATACCTACAGCCTAAGGAAGTATTTCAGGGAGCACTTTGGAAAGTGTTTCAGGGAACATGATGGTGGAAAGTCAGTATACTTGCTATTTTGTTATAATGAGTGTTCACAAAGCTAGTTCTTAGTGATCACTATATGCATTGCATTGCAGAATAGAAGATATTTGGAATCTATTTGATCTATAATAGTAACAAAATGATTTTTCTTTCCTAGAACAACTAGATTCTTCCCTTCTTCTGCACCCTATGCACCCTGCATCCAATACCAGAGCAATAACAGTCAGCTCCTTTTGATTGTTCTGTTGTGAGATAAGAAGGGGATGGGACTCCCATTCTCCCATTCTTGGTTACGGTGCTTACACACTTGGTTGTGCTGTTTGAGGCAGTGGCATACTTTAGTTATCGTTGTTTGCAAATGTACTTGCTGGAGAATCTCAATTTTTAGTTGTATGTATCTGGAGAATCTCAATTTTTAGTTGTATGTATCTGGTTGTAGTGCTTGTTGGGGGATTGCTGTTATGCTCGCACAAGTGCTTGCTAGGGTCTCACTCCAGCCTATACTCGGTTTTATTTGCTGTGTGCAGGATTTAGGCATCTTTCAGTGTTTTGGGTGGGACCATCTTAGCAAAAGCATACTGTCCATTGCAGGAAACCAATTCAATACAGCTTCATCACGAGGATCACGACCATCCTGTTGTTTGTCGATTGCCTCGAGCAGGCCCCAGTAACGTCTCCTTCATCCTAGCCCAGAGATTTTTAAAAAAGTGTCATATTCAAGGCTCTTTGAGGGTTAGGAGAATGAGACCTTTTATTCTTACTGGTATTTAGCATATTGGGTACGCCACGGGGAGTTTGCCAGACTCTGCCGTGTGGGCAGGTTACATTCGGCAGGCTACCATATGTAACAGCTTCATACCTACTAAAAAGTGTTTCCCTACATTTCCAACCATGGGAAGGCACTGGGCTGAAAAATCCCTGATTACCCAGTGACCCTTTACACTCTGGGTGTGTTTGCTTTTTTTTTTCTTACTTAGTTGAATTGTTCTGGGTAAGTATCAGTTGTATCACAAGAATAGCATATTCAAGCTTCCTCTTCCATTGTGGTAGAGAGAATGGTTTCTTTTCTTTGGCTGCTCCATAAATGTAGATGAGAAAGATGGTGTTGTCTTGATAAGACAAGCAAATCAACTGTCCTTTCACTCATTTATTCTTTCAATAGTTTGTTCATCTCTTCAACATCTATTATATCTCTGTTACCACCTGTTAACAAGGGGTGAAGAGATAAGGCCCCCTTTGTTACTCATTTTTTGTCACCTTTATGTTACAAAATAGGCTGTATTGATTGGAGATTTTTTTTATCTATGAAAGAATCCAGGATTCATAGATATTCATATTCGTAGAATATTCATATGTAGAATATTCATAGAATATTCTATGTAGCGATAGCACAGCGGGTAGGGCGTTTGCCTTGCATGAGGCTGACCCGGATTCGATTCCTCCGCCCCTCTCAGAGAGCCCAGCAAACTACTGAGAGTATCCCGCCTGCACAGCTGAGCCTGGCAAGCTCCCTGTGGCATATTCGATATGCCAAAAACAGTAACAACAAATC